GAGAGAGAGAGGGAAAAGAGAGAGTATGTGTGTCTGTGTGTGTGTGTGTGTGTTTGTGTGTGTGTGTGTGTGTGTGTGAGAGAGAGAGAGAGAGAGAGAGAGAGAGAGACAGAGAGAGCGAGAGAGAGAGGGGGGAGTAGAGAGACTCGGACAGAGAGGGAGAGAGAGGGGGAGAGAGAGACAGAGAGAGAGAGAGAAAGACCGAGAGAGGTAGGCAGGGGCAGAGAGAGTTACGCTGTAGCCTCCTTGGATACGCGTCAAGTCAGTGTATAACGCAACAGATTGGTCCCAACAGGTATGTATGCATGTATGTCTGGTTGACCCACAGGGTGCGAGGAATATAAGATAGTGAATTTATGGGCGCCTGAGACCAGTAAGTTGACGGTCGCCTTGGTCTAGTAATACGGAGTGAGTGCCTACTAATGATGGGATCGGACCGATCGCCCAACTCGGTCGCGTGAAACTTTAACAAACACGTTTGTTTTTAAGGCGACCGAGTCGGGCGATCGGCCGGGTGCCCACTACGGGTGGGATCGGTCGATCGCCCAACTCGGTCCCCCCAAAAACAAACGTGTTTGTTTTCACTTCCACGCGACCGAGTCAGGCGATCGGTCCGATCCCATCCATAGTGGGCACGCCGTATAAGTTTACGGGCGCGGGGTCACTGTCGTGCGCGATAAGCGCAGACTAGTTGTCAGGAAGGGCTCTCTGTACATGTATTATGTATGTACATTTGTACTTCGTAACTTGGTGTGTATGTCGTGTCGTGTGTGGAGTTCCCACTGGCTGTAAGCAGTGTGGTTGGCAGGTGCTCTTTTTTGTTTTAGTAGAGGTTTTACGGCTCTCGCAACTGCAAAAGGTCATATGAGCGTCAAGGTTGGCGGGTGCTCTGGTGTTATTTACTCCTTCTTTCCCATCGAGCAAAGTGGGTGGTTGGTGGGTGTTCTGGAGTGGTTTACTTCTTTTCTATCAGACAAAGTTGGTGGTTGGCGGGTGGTCTTGTGTGGTTTATCCTTCTTTCCTCTCGGACAAAGTGGGTTGTTGGCGGGTGCTCTGGTGTGGCTTGCTCCTTCTTTCCTATCGAAGTGGGTGGTTGGCTGGTGCTCTAGTGTGGTTTACTCCTTTTGTCCTGTCAAAGTGGATGGTTGGCGGGTGCTCTGTTGTGGTTTACTCCTTCTTTCCTGTCAAACATTATGTCTGTATTGTCCCTATACCTCTTTTCCTTCTTTTTTGTGCTGGTTACTCTTTTGTGACACCTCTAGTCTTCGGGGGCACTTATTTGACCTTGTCAAGCGCCGTGGAATGCTTTCTAATACCGGGTGCTCTTTCTTTTTTTCTCCCCCCTCCTACACACACACACACACACTCTCTCTCTTTCTCTCTCTCTCTCTCTCTCTCTCTCTCTCTCTCTCTCTCTCT